AGCCCTGTGACGTGTATCCCCAAGGCCTCAAACCACTTGAGTCCTATGAGACTCGTTCGTTCACCCTCTACTACTAGTAGGTCTAGTGGACCCTCAAAATCCTTATACTGTACGTTAAGGGTGGCCTCCCCCTTAACACACACTCTGGAGTTTTGAAAATCCGTTAGCACAATGTCAGAAGGCCTCAACTTGGCCTGGGTTCCGCTGCCGGAACAAATCTTCCTAAATGTGTGCATAGAAATGATCGAAAGTGCAGACCCCGTGTCCAGTTCCATAGTTAATGGAACCCCTTGTAGCTTCACCTTAAGTGACAGCTTTTTCTTAATGGGCTTGTGTGTGCCTGTCCTGTAGATGCTTCTTCGCGAAGCACAAAACCCCACCCTATTCTGGCTGGGGACCCTGGTACCTTTCAGGCGCAATTCTTCCTGAGGTTGTACCTTCTGACGGCCCAGGCACACAGCTGCAATGTGTCCTTGTTTTCCGCACGCCCGGCAGATAGCGGAGCGGAACTTGCAGTCGGCTCTCTTGTGGCGACCTCCACAACCGATGCACTTGGGGAGAGCTGAAGAGCTTCCTCTTGGTTTTCCTTCCTTTGTGGGGTGGAGACGGTCCACTTCCTCGTCCGGATCCTCCTCGGAGTTTCTTTGGACTTCTTCCTGGTGCACGGATGCAGCATCTGGACTGTTTCTGATCGGCCGCATGTTCTTGATGGCGCCGCCCGCTGCTTCTTCTGCGGTGACCTCTCTCAAGGCATCTTGGAAAGACAAGTCCTCCTTGGCGAAAAGTCTCTGTTGCAACTCTCGATGCCTTAGCCCGCACACAAATCGGTCCCTCAGTCGTTCTTCAAGGTCCTTGAACTCGCAATGTTTGGCGGCTTTCCTCAGTGCGGCGATGTACTCCTTGGCCGATTCTCCAGGTCGTTGATCCCTCTGCTCGAAGGTGTGGCGCCACGCGATGACGGACATCTTAGGTTGGAAGTGCTCCTTCAGTAACTTTTTTAGATCTGCGTAGCTGACAGACTCTAAAGGAACAGGTGCTGTGAGGTTCTCAGCAATTTCGAATGCGTCTTGACCGCAAACGCACAGCAGGGTGGCAGCCTTCAAGCTCTCTTCCCTCACCTGGTTCACTTTGAGGTAGTTTTCCACCCTGGCTGCGTAGGACTCCCACCTCTCTGGGTGTGAGACGTCGAATTCCGAAAGCCTTCCAATCTTCGCCATTTCGTATCAGGAAGGGTCTATCAGCCAGCCTACCCCCGAATACACGCTGGATTGGCGGGTAGCTGCCGAGTCAACGCCGTTCCTGCCGCTCCGGACTCACTCGGGTAAGCTTATACCTTCTCTTTTCCGATGTAAGGCGATCCCACCTTTGTCGCCAGTGTTGTGTCCGTCGCGAAATGGTAAGACACGAGAAGCAGTTGTAGTTCTCAGGAAACCTTTATTCTTCAGTTCAGCTTACATTGGAATATGGCGGCAAAAGCCCACACCTCGCAGCCTCCTTTTATAGGACTTTCCCGGGTCAATGTGTTACTTTTCGCGCGCCAGCACTTGCGCATGCTCACAAGCACTGGCGACAGCTGTCTGGTCCCGGGCAGCTTGCACCTGCCCGGGACCACCTGCAATGCTCCGAGCCCGCTTGCAAGGCTCAGGACATAACAGAATGTATTTTGGAAAGGTGGTTTACTGAGACCCTAAGCTATATTGAGCTTTATAGAAAGCGATTTAGCACCTTGAACTGAATTCAGAAACATACCAATAACCAAAGCAGTCCTCACAACAATTGTTGTGAGTTGTAGGAGTTTCCAATAGGCCTGTGAGCCACTGCATGGAAGATCATGGAAGTTTATGTATGGTGTTTAAGGGAAGTCCAATATAGAACTTGAGGGATAAAGACATGGACCATCATCCTCACTGCATCTTGTTCCAGACAAGGCCTCTGATCTAACTAATACACCAATTGAGCAGATGGTAGGGCCCCGAGTCTTTCAAAGCTGATGGATTGGAGCTTCCCACTCCCTCAGAGAGGCACTGACCATGCCTGAATCTGATTTCCTATCCCCTCTCTGACTGTCCTTATTCAGGGTCAGGAATCTATGTTCATGTTAGGCAAATCTTACCTCACTTCCTTATGACATGCTCAAAAATCTCTCAGGTAGCATTTCAAGATTACTTCTGTCATCTCCTCATGTTCTGTCCATCCAGCTTCCACTTATAGCAAATATGATCAATTTTACCCATTAATTGCTTGTCTGCTAATCATTATCTTGATAATCTCATAGTAATGGCAGTAATGGCAAAATAATCCCATTTCTTCATCCTTATCGCTAGGGAATATGTGATATTTGACCAGTGTTCATTCCTTTCCAGATCTCTAGGAAAATTCTCAAGGTAAAGGCCAAATCCAATATTTGGCCAGTTTTGTGAGCCAGATCCAGAATGACCTAGAGTAAGAACAGAGTTGTCATGAGGATCATGATTTTTTAAGCTACCCTCAACTCAGATAGCAGATGTTAAAATTCCCCAGGACTACCAACTTGTATCTATATCTTTCTTATAACAAGACTGATTGGCTCAAGAGGGGATGCTAGTATGCAGCTGGAAGGATGGATACAATAGCCACATCCCCAGTTTGTTCTCACACCCAGATTAGTGCTATAAGAGCCATGATGGTGCAGTGGATAAGAGTCATGGTAGCACACTGGTTAGAATGCAGTACTCACTGTTCACTCCAGGCGTTCGATTTTGAGTGGTTCAAAGTTGACTTAGCCTTCTATCCTTCCAAGGTTGGTAAAATGAGGACCCAGATTGTTGGGGGGGGGAATATGCTGACCGTTGAGAGAGGGCTGTAAAGCACTGTGAAGCGGTATATAAGTCTAAGTGCTATTGCTATTGCTATAGAATAACACTTCTCACAACTGTACATACCAATGACTCAGGTTTTCCAAGAAATAAACATCTTTTATAGTGGAAGTTCAAATGTTAAAAGAGAGGAAAAATTGGACATTACCACTCCGTGCATTAAATGTCTCCTCTACTACCTGTTTTAATCTATTTACCTGAACTGGGCCAAGGTTCTCAACAGAGAAAGAACTTTGCTTAATTCCTAAGTGCCTTATTCACCAACATGAAACCATCATTTTTTATTAATATGGCATTTTGTCAATATAAAAATTAAGGAAAAGCTTTCCTGCGAGACTGAAATTAAATTTATCCTCAAAAGCTGGCAGGTAGAAGGGAAAATGCTGACGTGTTGAGAAAGGGATGAGTTTTACTGCCTATTAAATCAATGATACCATGATTCCAAAAGTTGGAGACCAATTTTTTTTTGTCAGATTAAAAAAAAATCCTTTATTTTAAAGCCTGTTTTATCGCTTTGTTTTACCTTTTTTTCTTACAATTTTTGCTATTCCCAGACATTGACTCGAACTGATTAATAGTAGTCTGGGAAACTCTTGGTCTCTGCAGTTTTAAAGAAGAGAGCAAACTTGTGAGGTCATGAATAAAACATTTCTGAAGGTAAGCTGCTTCTTTAAATATGGCAAATGCTTCAAATGCAAGTAAGCATTTTTCTGTTCACTGATTTCAGTGAGAGCTAAAGACAGACACCAAAGTAAGAAATGCAATAAAGCCATTAGATGGAGGAATGCTTAAAAGATTCCAATATATAATCATCAGCTAGTCACAAAACTGACTAGGTAACATAGACAGTCATTTTTTTTTTTTTTTTGCCTAAACTACCTCACTAGCTTGTTCTGAAGATAAACCGGGATGTAAAATTGTTGCGGAAATTGCTCATCATAAAGTGATATCACTTTCTTTTCCGGGGTTTTCTGTACAAGCAATAATAACAACAATAACAATAACAATAATAATAATAAACAATACAGTTAAAACATCTGGTTGACTGTGTGAGCAACCAAAATAATACTAATATGCTGCCTGATTCCCAAGAACTGTGGATAGTTTACAAATTATAAGTTATAAATTACAAGTTAAAACATTAAAAATAAAAAAAATAGCAAACAACAAAAATGAAGAGTAAAGATGGCAAAAATAACAAAACCTGAATGGAACAAATAAAAGCAATTCACACGATCTAAAGGGGGCTTCAGTTCCTTTCACCAAAGGCCTGGGGTAAGAATCAGGCCTCCAAGGCCCTTCAAAACATAAACTGAATAGGGGCCACCTGGATCTTGGGGGGGGGACCTCATACCAAAGAGCAAGCGCTGTCACAGAGAAGATGTGGCATTGGTATATATGGCATATATGGCATATATGGCATTGGTTAATCATAGCATCCTAGAGTGTGCCAATCCTGACAGCAGATGCTAGGGGAGATAAGCAATTCCTCAAGTAACCAAGCTTAATGCCATGCAAGGCTTTATAGATAATGATCAGCACCTTGAATTTCACCTGGAAGCAAACTGGCAACCATGTCTCACGGGGCTGGAAAAGGCAGAGCATAACCCATCACTTGAGGGTCAAGGGCAGCTCTGCTATTTGGTAGAATGTAGATGTCTAAAGCTGAGTTGAGGTACTGTGATGTCAAGAAAATGTATTCATGGATACATAGAATGATACCCGTGGATTTTTCTGGCTCAGGTGTCATAATCTTGGGAACTATGGGCAAATCCTGGACTGATATGAATCTGGTAACTAAAAGCACATTCTGAAAAAAATAAAATAAAATTTGAGCTTTTTTTTCCTCATCAAACTGAAATTTAAACGTTCTCCAGACAGCAAGATTTCCATTTTTCTGGGAGTTTCCAAACTTACGATGAATAAGAGATTGATCTTCTCTGTTCTTCTGGGGCTCTTGTAAGTGCCAGAACAATTAGCAGAAATTGATTTACCAGTGAAATAAATTCCCCAGAGAGATATTGAACTTCTTTCATTGGCTAGACACCATATGGCATATATGACACCCTTGGGTGCCCTGCAATTAAAACACCACGCTAGGGTTCACAAAGTTCAGTGAAATAACGAAACAATCTGATGCTTATATACTTCTCAAACAGTTTATTTGTCATTGATACTAATTGTAATATTGAATGTACAGAAGAGTTACGGTACAAAGAAAGCAAGTTTCCAGTAGAAGTAATGCAACAGTCCAGCTGCTCTGCATGCTACTCACAATAAATTCTTCTGGACACATTGACCTTGTTATGCAGAAGGGCCTATGCAACTAGAGACATAGTTGAGTGGGTAAAAATGGACAGTTCTTCCCCTATGGAAGAAACACTATTGTTTGGGGAGAACCCCTTCTAAAAGTGATTCATATAGCTGTATCAGGAAAAGATGTGGCAATTCTTGTACACAGTATAAGCTGATCATAAATACACCTAGGAAAAGTTGAATTCGCAGGTCCTAACATAGTTCTCATAAATAGTTTGCTATTTATGTTGTTCACTCATAAGATTTACCACTTCACATTTCCTGAAACATTTCACTTTTATAACTTGGGTCTGCTACTTTTCAAATACCACAAATAACCCACAGTTGCTTGCACATTCTTCTACAACAAAAAAAAACCAACAAAGATATTTCAATGTGCCACATAAAACCATGCTTTAACTGTTTACAAAGTAACTAAAACAGTTCATCTCAAAACCTAAAATGATTTAAGTTGGAAGAAAGTTCTCTACACTATTTAAGAAAAGTGAATTCAGAAAAGGTGTAAAGGAGGAAAATGTCAAATACTTACAAGCAATACCAATATGTTCTATGAAGCCTTTAAAACTTATTTACATACATAAATACAATTAAGTCTCATGACAACCTTTTTATCACAAGTAGAACAAAATAATTAGTGGATAGTATTATCCAATGGAAATCAAGAAAAGGTTGATAGAATGGCAAAATGTTAAAAACAAAGGTTGGATTTTTTAAAAAAGCAATTGTAAAAAAATCTTCTGGGGACCATAATGAATACTTTATAATTATGTGTAGGAAATCAGCTTGGCCCTTTAATAGAAATCTTAATAAGCAGAAATAAATAAGAACCATTTATTCCACTGAATTATGATGTAGAAAAAAATGTTATTTCAACAGCAGTATCAGAGGTTTTTTTTACCTCAAATATATAGCCACTTGAAATAAGTTTTACTTTTTCTTTTTACAGATAATAAGTATGTTTATAAACTCAGTTATGAATCTTGATAGCCCCCCATGTTATTTTTTTTAAATCAGTTTAGCTCAACTAAAATCAAATTCATTTCAATAAAGAAATCACTATTTGTTATTAAGCCAGGTACTCCCTGATCTGTTTTACAAGATGGTAATATTGTTGAATTGGAGGAAAAAATTGTCAGACAGAAGAATAAAACAAATTGCTATAAAAGGAATAGTTTTTTTTTCAGGATCAAAAGGAACTCCAATGTATAATTGATTAATACAGAATATAGAACAGCTGATGCTCTCCAAATATTTGTTGATTTTGATGCCCAGAATTTCTGATCAGTATTGAAATCAAGCACATCTTCAAAACACTGGCTTGAGAAAGGCAGTATTAGAATATGTCTTTTACCGGGCTCCAGATGAGTTTTACTTTAATATGTAATCAGCTTTATCAAGTTTGATTCTATGTTTTAGGAAAACAAAGCACTCCAAACATGGAACCAGTAAGTCCTAAATTAAGTTTACCCAACTACGTTTCATTAAAACAGAAATTTTCCTCTGAGGTGGCCTCTTTGAGAGATTTAGTGTAATCTGGTGTTATATGGCTGTCATATAACATTAGAGAAGATTGTTCGACAGAGAGTGCTCCCATTTTGCTTCACAGAATGCAGTCATAAAAACCATTGCTCCAAAAGTAAAAGCATCACAGAGGTTGCTTACTATTTAAAGGCAGGCAAAAACACTGGATTATAAGTATATCATCTTACAACTGTTCCTTCTGAATGAGATCCAACAGAAATTCAACACATTTATTATCATGGGATGTCTGTATATTTCAAAAGCCATATCTTTAGGAGTAACTTTGTTTTAGTATTTCTAATTACAAATCAATATTTTGCAGGATAAAATCAAATGTGATCAATGTCTTATAAAATTAAAGTCCAGTGAAATGCTTTCCTCCCCCCAACTACTGAAAATGTTTATGAAACCATTACAATTATCAAAAGTGGATGGGGATGATGACAGATGAAATCCAACACATCTGGAAGATATCAAGTTAAAAAAATGTAGATTCTCTGTATCTTATGGTCAAATTCATACTTGAAATCTTGAATATACACTTTTAAAGTTCATTGGCATTCATTTGTGATTAATTGCCTTTCAAATTCTAATACTGACAATGTCATGAAAATCAAATCTGGTTTGGAAAATCAAATCTGGTTAGTTTTCAGGGGAGGGGGAGAAGAAGGCAATGAATTAGGGCATCTTAAATATTAGGTAAAGAGCCCACCAGGGATAAGGATTAATACAATAAAATAAGAAATAAGTAATTGTTAGTACTGTCACATTTTAATCTAGGGAGTGCTATATGAATTTACTTCCAGGAAGATAGCTGAAAGGTATGAAAAAGTAATAGTTGAAACAGTAGATGTAGTGCTTTCAGCTGAAGACCTTCCTATATTACTGCACTGTTTTCTGAATGTTTACGGTATACTGTACAAAAAAGGATAGAACAGAACGCATGTAAGAGGAAACCAGCACACCTGCAAAAACTGAGTCATAACTCACTGGTGAAGCACATACTTTGCATACAGAAGGATCTTGACCTTAAATCGCTGACATTGCCAACTGAAAGGACGGTTAGCAACTATTGTGAAAAACGTCTGATCATGGAAAATTATTATTGACAGCACATCAGGTATCAGTAACAAGGTGTCTGTGGGCACCAGGTCCTAGAACCGCACAAGGTAACTTTTGTTCAAATTATAGCAATATTTAAAATTGCGAAAAGAGAATCCTGTGAAATTATAGCAAAATCTTATGAGATTGCTAAAGATGTGGCCAATGGTGCTCAATGCCAGAAATATCAGCTGATTCTGAAGTAGATAATATTGGACTATGTAAACAACTGGCCTCATCTGGTGTAAGGTGGCTTTCCCAATTCTTGTAAGTTTAGTGCATTCTGAATACATGCAAAGTGCTTACCCGTGGCCTTTTGCAACTTTTCATCTGAACCTGGCTGACATCTATAACACTGCATATGCCAACCAAGCACTTAAAGCTTATTGGCTTGTCCAGAATCTTACCCAGCTCAAGCTCAGTGCTTTTTATTGTTATATTCTCAGAACATAGAGTGCTAAAATGGATTTAATCCAGTCTGTTTCTGGAAGAAGCTAGTGAATTGTGTGCATTGAGGCTTATTCTCAAGTAAGTATAGAGGGTACTTACTTCTGCATAAATTGGAAGAGAAGCGTGCTATTCATTATTAATGAATGTGCCCAGATATGAATTCTTCTGATAGAAATTGAGAGCATGGGGTGGTCTTAAGGAGTATGACTGCATTCAGATCCCACATAAACTAGTGCTGCTTAATTTAAAGTAAGGTTTTGTATGTTTGAGATATACTAGAAAACAGTGCCATTTTTTAAACAACTACCATTGTTAAGTTATTTTATAAAATCCAAACAGAACCAAATAAAAAAACACACCAAGTTACAGGGTGGGATATGCAAACATAAAACCACCTAAAGATGTGAGGCCCACATTCCATATGAACCAGTTGTTCTTCAAGAGTTTATTTCTGGACCACAAGCATCCACAGAAAACTGCAAGTTTGAATATTGGAAAGATGTCAGGGTGGGGCTGCTTAGAACTTTATGGTATATATGCTATGCCTCTATCTACTTATAGAAAGTGAAAGAGTGAGATGCTTTTCCTACAGGGAGAGAAAGTATCTGCATTTTTCTTTATACATTATGAACAGACATTTGTGTGTCCATAAATTACACTTTGGTATCCAGGTTATGATGAAATCATCTTTCTGAAGTGGTAGATGACATTTCTTGATCTTATTTTACACATTTGGATTGCCCCCCACTTCCCCAATGCATTTTAAATGTAGCATATTTTTATTAATTTACCTCTGAAAATCACAATATGTGAATATTCTGAATATCTGAATTTCGGTGGGAAGTTTGGGAGTTACCCAGGTGACCAAAAACAGGTTCAGTAGTCTCAATGTTGCCCACCCCTCTTATAAGGGTGCAAAGTAACTGAGGATGAGTGAACATATGCCTAGAATGAAGAATCACACACTTAAGCTACTATTTTGTTTAAACTTCAATTGTGTAAGATTGCTTTGGATTGTGTGTCATATGGGGGGAGCGCTTTCAATGAACGTGACTAGGATACAGCCTTAAATGAAGGCTGTATCTCCTATTAGGGCAAGGGAGAAAATTGGGGTGTATCGTATTTTGACCACAATGTGCAACTTGATAATCATTTAGAATGATAATATTTGGTTGTGTTGTTTGATTTTTTTTTTCACTTCTGTTGTCTTTAAGAAAGTTGATGGAATATAAATATCACACTGTATGAGAAATTCTGAAATATATACTCTGAGACAAATCTTTGCTTCCAGTGCCCAAGTCAGCATCCAAATGCAGCAAATACAACCTAAACTTCTTATTCAAAGACATTATATCATCATAAGATTTTAAAAGAAACCTGGTTTCTCAATTGGACAAAAGTGACTTCATTTAAATTATTGATAAGAATGAAATGGAGCTAAATGTAAACAATATTTCTAAATAATTAAGTCACATTATCCATAAGTATTCCAGCCATTTTATATGTAATAATTTTAAACTTTGGTTGCTACAAAATGTATGTGCTTATTTTCAAAGCATTATTTAAATAAAAGCATCACATACAAAAGTTCAATGCAGAGCATAAATATTGATCAACTTATCATGTACTTTTTCAGTAGTTGAGAAGGACTGTAGGTTGTCACTCCTTTATATTAAAAAAATTAAATTATTTTTCTAGAAAAGAGGCTTTTGTAGATGCATTTAGCTGACAAAAGTACAAGAAAAGTGAGCACGTTATAAAAAAAAAAAGGATTAAAACTTTCTGCAAATTTTAAGGTGCCAATAAAGGAAGATGATACACAAAGAAGGATGAATTGCAGCTCAAAAACATAATAAAAATAAAAACAATTCCTGTATTCTTTGGAATATACAACTTGATTAAAAAATTATTTCCAGGATATAAAAACTCTTATTCACAGCATTGCTAAATTAGAAGCATTCACAGTTTCTCTTTGAGAATCATTGTATACTTCCTTTTAACTTACAGGTTGAAATGATTGATTAAATTATTTAAGATTGTGTAAGACTGAATGCCTCAGCACCAGACATCAAACAAAATACTTTAAATTTCAAAGTCTGAAACTCTGGACACATATTGGGTATCTATCCTTCTCCATATTTATAGCCAACATGAATGAACAGAACTACTATCTTAAACCTTTATTATTTTCTGAAGTTCAGACTTGGAAAAAGTCTATGAGAATGTAATCACTTCACTGAGCAAAATCAATCAGAGAACATCATAGCAATATTTCCAGAAATACTGACTTCAGAACTGATTGCTATTCTGTGTGAAAGATAAACATGGCAGTGCTCTCATTTGTCATATAAAATCATGGACATTGTCAGAATAGACACCTGTAATAATAATTCAATATGGTCGCCACACTGCTTCTTCTAATCTTGCTGTTGTTCCCATATTGGTGGGGGAGTTGCTATGACTGCCTTCAGTGTCCACAACATCATTTTGGTTTGGAAGGTTGGGATTGAGTAAAGTAGATCCGGTGGAAGCATTAGTGCAAGGAGGCAGAATACGTGGGGGAGACCGATCACCACCAGACATCATGGAGAATTGGTAAGATCCTGCTGATGTTCCATAGTAGAGATGATACGAAGGAGAGCTGGTCTGAAATGGGTTACCTTGAGCCTGAGAAGAACCTGGATAGGGAGGTGGTAGGTATGTGTGATATCTGGTGGCGGTGGTCATGGCAGACATGCCAATTCCTATTCCTGAGCTGACTGGGGTTGGAGTATAGGTGAATGCTCCTGGATAGTGCATACGAGGATCAGAAATGGAAGGAATGGCAGAAAATGGACGATCAATTCCTACTCTTGGATCACTGAACGCTGTTAGGTCAGAAGCACCTGGTTTGGGAGAATGGACATAAACATAAACAGATATAAACTGTAAGTAAAAGACATGACTTTAGTTCATTGAAGAGAAATTACTCAGATACACAGGTGGCCCTCGAGACTTGTAGCCTGATTACCTGCAGTTTTGCATATGTGCAACTGATAAATGTAGACAAAACCTCATTATCAGCAGCAAAATGTTTTGCATATCTGCAGTCTTTGGCCTGTGGCTCTGTGAAGGGGATGCAGTTTGGAGTGGAAATTTTAGGCACGCACAAAATGGCAGATACACTTTTCCACTTGCCTAAAGTAATTTATTTAAAGTATCACATTCACAGTTATTGTGCTGGAAAGCAGAAAATTAGATTTGACAAATATGAAGTTGCCTGTTAACAATGAAACATTTGTAATGCTCTTGAATGATTTTGAAATGTATGCCTTAAGTAAAAAATAAATTAGCCATGATCTCTAGGGACAGGGTTTTTCTCCACAGTATGTTTTAGTATACACAATATAGAAAATTAAGTATACATGTCTAGTTATTATTGGAGACATGAATATGAATAACATTTTACCAATCTTATAATAGTTGTACTATGGAGGTGTTCTGTTTCTAAAGCCAGTGTTAAAGTCCTACATCTAACCACCAAATTCATAAGAGTAACCTTAGTTTTCTATTCAGTAATCTTGCTTAAGATCTAATTAATGAGAAAACTGTGACTTTGTTCCTAGAAAGTGACCACTGCTTTAGCTTTGTCCCGCTATTCACAAGTCCTGTTTCAATCATCAGTTGGGTTCAATAATCAACATTTTGCTTGATATAAAATCAAATATATTTTGATATCTCTCTCTCTCTCTCTCTCCCTCTCTCTCTCTCTCTCCCCTCCCTCCCTCCCTCCCAGTCCAGGCAGCTGCCAGGAGTCAAACACCCCCCCCTGCACACACACATACACATACACCGACACAGACATACAGTATGAAAGAATTTGTGAACTTCCTCTGTTCCTTTACTCCTTTCATCTGGACTAGATAGAATACTGGCTGCTTGGTCAATGGAAATTCAGAATGTTTATAAATTTAGGAACTAAAAGCATTTTGAATAGCTTGTTCCCCATTTGAAATAATGAACTTCAGCTCCCGCTCCTCTGCTGATTGAGAAACTCTCACTTCCCCCCCAAGGCCTCCCCCCCTCTCACAGATGAAAGATAATGGCCTCTTAAAAGAGAGCTAGGAGACAGGCTCCAGTTAACAGAGACTTTGGCTTCCCTTCCTTGCCAGCTATTACAAAGCATTAAAATAACAATAAAGCAACCTTTCCTCATGGCAAGCCCTCCTCAGACACAGTGTGGAGTCTGCCTAAAAGGAATGTGCCAGGGCGTACAGAAGGGAAAGAGTCAGAAAGGTGGGAGAAAGAAAACAAAAACAGTCTGCCTTGCGACTGGATTCAAAGGGTGCTGCAAATATACCATCGTGTCAGATTCTGAAAGCTTGTCAGTCCGCTAACCAGACTTCTTTGATATCCTTCAACAAGTTTCTCAGAAGGTTTCTGTGACAGCCTATAGTCGTAATTTTGGATGTGCCATATATAATCACCCTCTGCCTTTCTTCTTAATAATACTACTGAACACCTGGAAATGCCTCCCTGGCAGATCAGATTTCAAGTCTAAACGCCAGTTGTAAAGAGGACTGCTATTTTTTCCCTGGGAAGGTTTCCTGTGCTTGTTGTAGCAGCTATGACAGGCAGAAATTCAACGGGTGAGGTTGTAATCCAGCAGGGGAGTATAGTAATAGAAATGTCATGTGCTGAACATCTTGATTGCCACACATATCTATAAATGGAGCAGTGGTGTCAGGAATGTCATTGTTTTGCATCAAGATGCACGTCTCAACAATTGCAACTGTGGCTACAGGTTGCCTTGTGGAAGGGAAAGGGAGATGATGAAGATCTTTTGCTTGAGTTTGCTTGAGCCCAGAGGATAGAAGATGGGGAAGGCAGAATTTCAGGCCTTTTATTCACGACATCAGGGGAAAATGGAATGTATTTTTAGGGACTGATAAGTGAGTTGAAAGATTACAATGGAGCGCACTGATATGGATGAAATCTATAAAATAAGCCAAGCCTTCAAATTTAGGTAGCAGAGGGCAGGGTATGGAATGTGAAAACAGCTAGTCTACAAGCAGTATAGAACTGCTGCATTGGAAATCACACAATGGAACTTTTGCAATTTGAGCTGTGCTGTACCTAAGCCAAAAGAGAATTGGCTGTGGGTACCGGGTTGTGGGAAAATAGTGACACGGTGCCTGTGACTGGGATAAATCAGCAGGGGAATTTTTCCATCATGCTGATGAAAAAAAAGGATGAAAAATCACTGGCAAGCTTATCTATTCTTATATCATGCAACAACAATAATTAGCAACCCCTATCCAGGTGTGATTTATTCAAGCTGAAGCCAGTAAAAGTGTTCCAAGCTAGCATCTAATTTTAGGATTTTTGGGAAAACAGATCAAGTTTTAGGTCATATTTTTGAAATATTGAAAATTGGAAAAGATTCACAAACATTTAAGTGCCAATGTATATCCCATTTTTTTCAGGAATTCAAGGCAGCACGCATACCATTCTTTTCCCACAACAACCCTTTGTGAGGGAAGTTGGGCTAAGAGAAAGTGATTGGCCCAAAGTTACCCAATCAACTTCTGTTCTTGAGAATTGACTATAACACCCTCTCCCCACACCCGTGCCAGTCCGATATCTTAAACACTACAACATACTGGCTCCCTAACTTGGTGTTTTAAAAATGGGAGTAAAGTATTATTCTACTAATATCACTTCTCTGACTGGCTACACAAATGTCTTGGGTCTGAATTCCTTTCTTCACTTTAATTGTTTTTATTATATATTTATCCCAAACAAAACACAAAATACTTTTTGGTCTGGAAACTGTCAGAAGAATTGTTATGGAGGGAAGAGTAAATCAAGCAGGGTAGAACCAAATCTCTTCTTGAATTATATTACAGCTTGACATTATAATTTATGTAAAAAGCTGCAGCATTTTACTTGTTCAAGGGACAGAATTCTCCAAGCCACTTACTTGTTAACCGGCTTGAAAGCTCTGCAGAAAGGGAGGTCATCCCACTAGCCCTTCCGGGTGAAATGGGTGTGGCTGGATGAACAGAAGAAGTTGCAATTGATCCCAGGTATTGGTAGGATGGATCATAAGGCCAGGGAGGAGATGGCTGAAGTTGCCTCGTATCTGAAATGGGGAAAAATAGATGTGAAGAATGGTGAAATACATATCTTAATCTAACATTAACCATAGAGCATCAATTTGTGGTGAATCGGCTAGATGTGATTTATTGCAGTTTCTTGCAAGGATGGTTACAAAATGTATGCCTGCTGGTTGTTGTGTTACTATAGGATACAGCAAGGAACTTCTTTTATAAATGTCACTTAGTATAGTATAAATACTTTAAATTCAATGAGTAATAGATCACAAAACACTAAAATCGTATTGGCTGAATGGAACACAATAACATTTGTTTTCTTTGTGAGAATGGCTTATATCAGCAGTAAAAGCCCCTTTAAGGAGAGATGTCCATGGGGGATAAGGCGTGGGGAAAGATTTGGGCAATAAAAATACATAGACTGCAATATTGGGATGCAAACTGGGCCCCTTAGGCACCTACATGAGACATACACCATGATACAATTACAAAAAGGTGCAGCTTGCTTGATGGCATCACAATGCACATTTTATTTTGGAATCTTCAAAGGTGGCCAAGGACACCTATGTTTTCCAAGTACCAGAAGCTTCTGTGGCCAGAAGCTCAGCTATGTGACCCACAGGAAAGTTTCTGCTCCTCAACAGACTCTAGAATGCTTTACCCAGGCTCCAGCTTGCCCAACATTTAGGCAAATGACAAAATCTAACCCTTTTGCTTAGTTTTGAATTAATTATAATGGTCTTGAGTTTAATTTGAATTTCCTTGGCTTTTCTGTCCTTTACCTTTTGCATTTTGTTTTATTTTTGTAAGCTGCCTTGAGTGCTTATATAGCAAAATGGGTGTTTTGTAATAAACAGACAAATAAAGATCAACATGCTTATTTTATTTTAAAACTCTATTTGCAGACATACTGATGGTTTTGAGGAAGGAAGGAAACATTACAAGCTGTAAATATCAGTATATAAAATTATTCTTTGCTAATGTAGGGCATCATATCAAATTACAAATAATCTTCCTGGTCAGACCCCCAAGTAACTATTTATGCTTAATTTATTCAATATTACTGAATTATCTAGATCACGGGTGTCAAACTCGCCGTGTTGTGATGTATCATGACTCTTTTTGCATTGCCGGCAATGGTGTGTGTGTGTGGCTTTGGTATGATGAAACCAGCCCATGGGCTGGCAGTTTGACACCCCTGATCTAGATCAACAAATCTTGACCATACCCAATAAATCCCACAAACCAACAACTTATGTAAAGGTCACTGGAGGAGGGCAGGTTATAGCCCTTATTCAATTTTGTACCATATGCTTCATTTATGTACATATTTATTACTCTGGGTTTCTCATGTGAATTTCTAGAAATGGACAAGTTAATCTTTAGTTTTAACATCTGGATTCCTAACATGTTTTGCTATTATGAGTTGGTTTTTTTTTAAAAAACATCATTGTTAAAAACTGCATATAGCAGCTTTATAATTAGGTACTAACAAAAGCCAACAACTGCCCTCTATTAAACATTTTTTTTAATGGAAAAAACTCTGAGTTATTTTCATGCATCTTCTGGGGCTATGATCTAAATATAAATACTGTGGCTGACCAAAGAATAGTTTGATAATTTAACTAATTAACTAAAAGAATTCTTCAGAGAAAAGCTGTACAAGATGGGCAAAATTTCCTGTCCCCTATCAAATGAGATTAAATGCCCTATAACTTCTGATTCTACAATTCTTTCCTATTTTGGCGTATGCACGTTCACCTTTTTCTAGTTTAGGGCAGATTGGTGAATCTCCATTTACTCAACTGCTAAAACTAAGCATTAAACGTTTTCTATCAAAATACATCAGTATGTAGAAAATTCTGCAGTCTTTGGCTAGGTTCACACCATATGCTGAAACAAAAACCTAGCCAAGCACATCAGTGTTCAGTAAATTTTTTTTAAAAAACGAGTTACCCAAATGGAGCATTATTAATTTACTTAAATATTTACAGTACGGACTTTATAGCAATAAATGAGCAAAGGTATTATAAGAATCCAACCATTTTCAATTTCTGAGACCAAAACAGAGTGAAGCCCTATTCAAATCATCACAATTTTTAGTGCTATTAAGGTTGTGGAATGCTTCAGATTTAAAGGCATAAATGTGCCTCAGGGATACAGGACATGAATGTAACACCTATCACCAAGTCTTTAAATCAAATCGGTCTTTTCCCAAGATTGTGTGACATGCAGTCACTACTGACCTGCACTTTACCTTTGTTATTTAGAAAAGTATTTGGTCCTATAAATCCAGAAAGCTGGGAACTATCTTTGCAAATCACATAAGTGGAAACAGAACCTATTTGGACAGATATCAAACATTGGACTGTCTCTAGACTGCAGAACATAAAGTTGCAGTGACAGCTGAGACACTACTTTGTGTTTCCATTTGTTAGCACTTCTGTACCACTTGAAGTGATGAGACAATGACTGCCTTTTGAGAAAACCAAATCAAAGGGCCTTGGCTTGGCTTTGTACTTACCCTGTTGCATGCAATTGTAACTCCACAAAAAATATGGGTATGCAAAGACATACAGATTTAACTAAACAAGTTCTTTTTATCTAAAGTCCTTTGTTAGAAGGTGGAGTTAATAACTACTAAAAATATCAAGCCAAGATCAGAATATGAGATGTTACAACAACTGTGAATGGCACCATATGAAAATGAGATGCTATATCACAGAGGTCTTCAAACTTGGCCCTTTTATGACTTGTGGACTTCAACTCCCAGAATTCCTCAGCCAGGCATCCATAAGTCATAAAAGGGCCAAGTTTGAAGACCCCTGCTAGATCAGTTTTGTCTGTATGAACCTTACTAAAAATCACCTGCTGCTAAAGACTTGGTTGACAATCCCAAATCAATATGTGAAATTTCAGAGAAGATACTATTCTGAATTGCTTTCACATGTGTTCACCTATAAGTTTCTTCCATTGCACTTTACCATTAATCTGCAATGATACATATACACATCTTTATAAATCTATATAATTGGTTTAAAAACATTCATTTTATATACTATACAGCATATTTTGAAGGTTTCGAGTAGAGAATTCTGTTAGGCTATTCAAAGGGTGCAAACTCAGTAGATAAGTGTTAAAGTGCACATTACATCAGGAAGTACTGATCAGATCTTTCTGTAACAGAATTGACAAAAATTGAATTCTTTAAGCACTCTTAAAATTCACCTTCCCACCATGAAAGTCTGATATTTTTCAATTTTCTTTTTCCTCTTAGATTGCCTGCTGCTTTATTTTCCTCTTCTTCTTAACCAAGGTTTTTGTTTGCCGCTACTTATTTTCTTTCCCTTGATATTTTTTCAAACCATGCCCTTTATCTATCCAGACACACAGCAATTCAGCCAATCTGGCCACATTTTTTTCTGATTATCCAACTTCTGTGTAATGGACAAGCAATTATGCCAACAACTGCTGAGCAGCTTCATAGGAACTGATGAAGAGATATCAATTTTCTTCAACCTAGCAATCTCCAGAGGTGTTGGGACTGGTGTGCCCCTGTGTTTATGTGTTTGTGTCCATGCATCAGTGTTTGTGTATGTGCATCTCTCTCTCTCTCTCTCTCTCTCTCTCTCTCTCTCTCTGTGTGTGTGTGTGTGTGTGTGTGTGTGTGAGAGAGAGAGAGAGAGAGAGAGAGAGAGAGAGAGAGAGAGAGAGAGATAGGAGGGAGGGAGGGAGGGAGGGAGGGAGGGAGGGAGGGAGAGAGAACTACTCATAGGTATAGAGCTTCAGAGACAAAGTTATTGAATCAAATTCCAAAATCAGAGGTTGTTCTATTCTGCTGGCTTCAATAAATGTAGGAATGTTTTCCCCACAACTTTGGTGTTCTTCCTAAAAATTCATCTAGCACAGCTATAATGATAGGGAATTTAGGAGTTTTAGTCATAATACATGTGAAAGCTACTAGGTTAAGGAAGCTGCTTTAGCGAAATGCAGTTAGAATCTGAAATAAGGATTTACATACAGCAAAATGGGATTTCAATATTTTTAGACAGAACTAAAAAGAGCAAAATAAAAAGAATCATCTTGATTATTCTATTATCAGTTTAGATCATTTGCAGCCTACATATAGTGCTTTTTTTACTATAAAAAGTACTATTCATTTCTGCATTTTGCAATGTGAGAAAGTATATGTAAACTATTATTGCAACAAAACACTTCAGGGTGGGAATTAAACCCCCTGAGTACAGTTAGACTCGTGTACTCATGTCGCATGTGTCCAGCTTCCTGTTAAGCTAGCTATTAGATACAAAGCACTGTACCATCATTCATGCCCCATCATGATTTACAGCCACAGAAATTTTGTGTTTGGTTTCTTAAACAACAACAACCTGACAACCATAATTAAACAGAGCATATGTTGCATAATATTCAGTATTCATACAATAAGCTTTGATAATATATTCAAATCTATAAGAGAAATGTATGCATTAAAATGGGTGAGCTAAATGTATATGAAAAAAGTTACTCAAGTATTTGTTGCTTTTTAGAAATGTGGGGATTAAAAAAAAATATTCCGTATATGCAGCAATATGGACCTTATAATTGGTGGAAGTGTATCTTCCAAGAAAGATTTTTTTATATATGTCTACTGACCATTGGGTGGCAACAGAGAGCTTCTTGTACAGTCTTTTAAGCACTGTATAATGCTCAATTCAATTCATTGGATAATTAGTATAATTATGTATTGGGGCAACTCCATTCTGCCATAGTTTATGTTGAATTATCCTACAATTTAATATCTTAGTTTCAAGAATCCATAATCTGCCAAACCAGACTCATGTGTAGATATCTCTGTAACACAAGAGTCCACCATTCTAAGGGACCAGAATGCTAGATCTAGATTTTGTAGTAATGCATTGTAGTAAATCACAACAAAGATTATCTAACTCTCAGTTAATATAATAAGTTAAAATATGCCTGCTTTGAAATTTATAGAAAATGAATATATGATGTTGTCCAGAACAGCTGT